CATCTACTTTTTGCAAAAACGACACAAATCTGAGACATGACCGAATATACACAGGGTACAACAAGGGAGCTCTAGCTGCCTGCACATTGGTGCTTCCACATAACCTTTTCCATCTTGACCAGAAGGTGAAAATGGTCAAAGTGGTTCCTTTCAACTGCTGGTCAGCACTGCAGGCAACATGTTGCATCTGACAGCAATGATAGGGCTGGGGCCGGTACCCCATGCCAAGTGCAGCCACAGAGGTGTACCTTGTGAGGTACACCCTTTGCGAACAAACAGCCTGTGGCAGGAAAGGAACCTGTGAAATGGAGCCAGGAATCATTAGGCTTTCTTTCTTTAAACTTTTCCGACAACAAAGTTGCTGTGTTTATAAGAAGCAAACTAACAAAACAAAACATCACCACAGGCACCTTAGTTTCTCTTCGTCTTCCTCACTGGTAACTCTGTTCCATGAGAAACGTTAAGGAATTCGATCACAAGGCAAATGAAAAAAAAGTCAATAATGCTCACTTATCATCATCACATGAAGGCCTCAAGGTATTATTTGTCTCATGCTGAAGTTTCTCAAGAGAAAAATAGCACACACATACTTGGAAAATTAATCTTACTTTAAAATGTTTGAAGTGGCATGCCCTTTTGAGTTTTTGGTGAGTCTTTTTTCTATTCTTACAAAAGCCAGGAATTTCTAACTTTAACGTTTAATTTACTGACACTTGTACAGGGTGTGGGCACCTGTGGGTGCAGGTGTATTGCTGTGTTGTTGTTGCATGTGGTGATGCTGGGGCTGCCCCATGCTGGCCCCAATGGCCCCACTGCAGGGCACGGCTGGGCCCAGCACCCAAGATGGCGGTGCCTCGCCTCAGGGACAGCCTGGGGAAGAAAGGAGGGCACCGCACTGCCCGGCAGCTGACAGAAACAAGGGGAGAAACAGCCCTGCTGGCACCCAGGGGAGAGGAGGAGGAAGGCTCCAGGCACCGGAGCAGAGATCCCCCTGCAGCCCATGGGCAGCAGGCCATGCTGGATCAGACACCCACTCTGCTGCCTGTGGAGAACCCCACACCAGTCGCCTGTGACAGCAACTGGCAAAAGATCTCTGTGTCTTCATCTTGAACCACAAGCTTTTCCAGCATATTTACTGTTGAGGAAGGGGAACAAGAGAGTGGCTGGGTGGGCATCTGACAGCTGATGAAGGTGAACCCACCACCACTATTAACTAAAACTATATAAAATGCATATGAATAAATATTTAGACATATATATTTTTAGTTGCTTTGCTTCCTTTTTAGCTTGGATGACTTGATTACTGCACCTGCTCTTTCATGGAAAATTTCTTTGGTTCACACTGCATTAGCGCAAGCATCCTTCCCTGGTGTTTATTTTTCCTTCATTTTCCTCTGGGATGAGTACCAGGATGATGCAGGTGAGTTACACCTCCCAAGAAGCCTAAGCTCTCTCCCTCACTACACAAGCACGCCAAGAAATAGTGGATGGCAGGCTGCTGTAACATGCACAGCCTGCAGCTGGTGCCAGAACAACTGGTGAACAATTAGCATGACCATCAGAGACCTCAACGCATGTGCACCAGCTTAAAGCCATCATTCATGGACATTGCAAATGGTCCAAACCACCAAAAAAGACTTCAATGCACAATGGCAATAAACTGTATATGGATCACCAGAGCGTACTGAACACATGCACAAAAGAATAAGTCAGAAAAGGTAGAAGCTGCAACAGAAACCATAACATCTAGCCGAGTTGCTCTATGTAACATAACTGTTCACATATGTAGCTAATCCAGAGCCATGTATTTCTTCTGTTTTTATTTTTCACTCTTTTTGTAATACATTACATTGCTTATGACATGAGCCTTTGCAGGGAATAAAGTCTGCAGCCCTACACAGGTGTTAGTTCCAGAACCAGAAATAGTCTAACTGTGTCACTGGTGCTCATTAGTACTGCTGAGAACTGCCGTGCCAGCACAGCCATTTTGCTGTCGGCGTTCATCTGCTGCTGCACTGTGCCATGCTGATGCTTCGGCCTGCTTGGAGCTAGCTGGGGACTGTTTGTGCTGTGCTCTACTGCACAGTGTCAACGTACCCTCAGGGTCCAGTGCTGCTTATTCACTTTCCTAATAAGTGCTAACCCACTAATAACAGTTCTTGCAATTGTTACAGAGCAAGCAGTGCATATCCATCCTGCATATGTTTCCCCACAATTTACCCCGTGGCATTCTTAGCTGTATCAAAATCTATCCCTTAGCCATCCAAAACAGAATAACAGAACATAATGAAAAAGAGGGAAAGGGTAAAAAGATTTCTACTTGTTCCCTCCCCCCAACTGTTTCTTTCTTTTCCCTTAACAGCTTACTTGCATGACTACATTGCATTACATTTGGGTAAGGAATTTCACCAATAAAAATATTCTGCTGAACACTGAGCAAAACGGAAACACATGTCAACTAAACAATGAAGTTTAAAGAAAAAAGCATCAACCCCCTAACCCTTAATTCATGTTACCAGAATGCAAAGCAATTATGCTACCATGCTAACACCATTATCATTAGTAGTAATGAGAAAACTTCTCTATCAGCAGACATGCAGTAAAAATCTATGAGAATAAGCATCCTAAGGGATTAATAATTCTAGTAACCTAATCTGTAACACTATTAAAAGTACCCTCTCTAGCAAGGGGATATTAATCTTTTTCAAAAAAAAAAAAAAAAAAAAAAGATAAAAAAAAGGGAGTAACTTAAAAATAGTCAGTGTTCAGCCACAAAATTAAAGGTTAACATTTTTATGAAAAAGACCAAAGATTTCCATCACAGAAGGTATAATCCAAATGCAATGAAAGTGGGACATAGGAAGAGTTCAGAGCTCTGCTTGTCCCCTGTGCCCAAGAGTGTCAACATCTCCCTAAAAAACCCATATATATTCTTAAGAGGCCTTGTACATTAGCAATTTTAGACTGAGATAAAAGCAAACAGAGTGAAGAGGAAATTAAAAAAAAAAAATGTCATTTAATAATCACTTTTCATTTAAAGGATACATTCAAATTAAATTTTAGAGCAATGAGGAATGCATGAGGCCCCAAGAATCATATAAAACATCACTCAGTTTCTTGCACACCTTTTTCTGTTCATGAGTAACGTATCTATTCCTATGCCAAAAACAGCCTCTTATTTTTTATTACAAAATTACAATTTATTACAAAATTTTATTACAAAAAGGTGGGGGGGGGGGGGAAGAAGTCATAGAAGAAAGTCAAAGATTCTAAAAGTTTAAGGTAGTAGAAAAACAGACCTGATAAAATATGATCACAGGCAAAAATAAAATGACAATAATAATAACAACAATAATAATAATAATAATAAAAATAATGAAGTGTATGAATTCTCTCTCTCTCTCTCTCTGCAGTTAAAGGCTATAGCTCAGTTAAGAGCACTGGAGAAACCTGTCCTCTCAAGTCTGTGAAACACTCTGTACAGAGCTTCAGAGACTACTGCATTAGAAAATTTCCCTTGGAGGATCACTACTTCAGAGCACAAAAAGACCCGCAGAAGGCAAGTGTAGGATTTGAAAGAAGACAGAACAAGGATGTTTGAATCTATTGCTTTGTAGGCAGGGAACATTCAGAGCCTCCTGATACATCTACATGCGTGAGCTTTTCACAGAAGCATCAAGAGGAAAATCTTAAACTGTTACTCATTTGCAGCAGAACTTACCTGGTGCTCATTTTGAAGTCTTTTCAAAGTATCTCACTCCAACAGATTTCACATTTCAGATGTTTAAACTTCGCCTTTTTTACCCCCCCAGCAATCAATTATTTAAAAAAGACTGTCACCATTTAGGCATATTGCTCGCCCCCTAAACCCCTTCTGCTTGCTCAGATTTGCAAAAACATTCTCACTCCACTTATTCCAACGAATTTATAAATGCATCACTGAAAAATGAGTGCTATGAGGACAGTTTGAGCCTGATATCTTGGATGGATAAAACAGTTAATAGTTAAAATGGTTAGTAACACAGAATTTACCCTAGCTCACAGTCAGACCCAGGCAAACTCCATTTCCTGAGGATCTCCTTAAACACTTCCCTACCAATCCTAGAAAGCCTCTAGCCACCTCCTGCTCAGGATATCAATTTTCTCCTTCTACCAGTAAGGACGGGGTCTGGAAAGGTGATTAGCTGTTGGAAAATGGAACATATGTAAGCAGTAAGGCATTCTACCACATAGTATCTCCAGCATCTTTTAGTGGTAGTGAGACATTTTTAACAAGCATTGAGGAGGTGTGCTGTATTCAGGTGGCAGGCTTACTAGGTGAGCCTAGGCTTACTAGGTGAGGCTTAATAACAAAAGTAGGGATAGTTAAGGTTATATTTGAGTATTCCTCTTCATAGGATTCTTATGACCCCCTAATTATATTCTCACTTGAATTAATTTTAAGAAAAGTAATTTCTATATTCTATTGCATCCTACATAATTCTGCGTTCCGACACATTAACAAGTACTGTGCTAGCTCTTGGCACAGGACCATGCAATTCATTCAGCTTTTAGAAACGGATGTCTATGAAAGAGAACTTGACTAAAAAGCATGTACAGGCAGCAGCAAATTGCAAAATTCAAATATTTGGAAATTCTAGGATTAGAGTAATTGCTAAGGAGTTAATTTACAATTCAGGAACATAGAAGTAAACACATGAAAATAAATTTGGTTTATTTGCATCCCCCACATCATTGAAGAAGAAACAATGAAGAACACATGCAAGGACACCAGGGCTATCTGCCTGCCAACAAGCTAAAGTTTATTCAGTGCAGCTGCAAAACACAGCACTGTGCCCATATTAGTGTTGCTTTGGACCAGAACCACAATGTCTATTGCACCATGTGGCCATACTGCCTCAGATCTCTGCTACCTAGAACATTTCTACCCATTTTCCACTGCACAATATAAATGCTCATCAGTATGGATTCTAACATTATTAGAAACATTCATGAGCTACCTTGGAAAAGCCACAGAGCAACAGCATTCAAGACACTGCAGAGGAAGACAGCCCATTCACCTTTGACAAATTCTGCCTAGGTGCTGCTGCTTTCTTGTAACTTTTTCTTCTCTGCACCCCCTGAAGCTCTGCTCCTCTCTGCAGGCTCCCCCACTCTAAAATCCAGTTGCAGGACTACATCGCATCACCATGACTCTCCCCACCCCTTCAAAGCATCATGTCAGGAAAAAATCTGGTCTATCCCACAGAGCCTCAGCTGCTCCCAATGGACTGAAACATTCTCTCCATCCCACCTGGCTTTCCCCTCTCTTCTTATAAGGGAAAGCTTGTTCTCTAAGAACAAATAGACAGGTACAAGCCATCACACCACAATATATGAAATACTGAAAATATTATTCATATCAAAGATTAATCTCCAGGGTCCCAAAGGAATATTGCCCAAAAACTTTAATGACAGACTATCAAAAGAGAGAAAAAGAAAGAAATAATAAGTGTCAAATGGAGAGAGGGGGAGAAGGAACAATCTAACACCTCACCTTATCCCCAGAGGTTGATGATGACTGTAAAGGACAGGACTGATGAATAACAACAACAACAACAAAAAGCTAAAGCTAGTCCCCCTGAGAACATAGTGCTTAGACATTGCCTCATTGTGATAATTTTCATTTCTAATCACCCAATGATTTCAGCCCTCATTACGTTTTTAATAAGTGATTTTATGCTTTTTTTCCTGGGCTCTCACTCTCAAAAAACCTTCACATAAAGCCACTTCTTAGTCCCCCTTCAAGTCTCCCCATGAAATCTTTTCTTGATGTAAAGCTTATAAAAATATTAGCAATGGCTAAACAGGTGGTAGCTGTGGCCCCAAATGATCACGTGGACAAATACTCTTTATTTATTTTCTTGTGATTTTTGATCTCTCTCCCTCAAAGACCAGATACTCTCTTGGCAAGCACAATCTTCCAGACAGTTTGCATGTTGTCTACCACAGAGAGCTGGTAATCTCCAGGCTAGAAAGGCTAGACAATTTTGCAATGCAAGCGAGTAACAACCACCACCACAGCAAGAAGCATGGTATGCAAAGCCTCCTTATCCTGAGTAAACTTACTCGGGCTGCAGATGGTGAATGTAAATCACCTGGATGTCAACCATCCCATGCCACCATCATCCCATCCTTCATAAACTAATTGCACTCTGTAGGAATGCAGCAATTTGCTTCTGTTTTCTTTGAAACAAATCTTTTTTTTTTTTTTTTTTTTAATTTTATTTTATTCTTTTTGGTTGGTAAACCTAAAGGGCCTAGTAGCTAGCATACTATAATTAGAAGAAAGAAGTTTTTCTCCTCCCTTCCCAGACATCTAACCATGCTCCTTCTCCAATTAGGTATCGAATGAATACATCTCATAAGATTACATTTTTTTTTTGCTTGGGATTGGATAGTAAAATCAGAAATGACTAGTAAGATTTACCCTTCTAGGAAGTATTAAACCCCAAACATTTAGCTGGAAAGATCCATTTACCAATATGATAAATTTTATATTCTTTGCAGCAGACTTCCAACTGGCATTGTTTGATGGGCTTATTGTCAGCTGAGGATCTGGGTCTTATGGTTTTATTTTATTTATTTTTTATTTTTTCCACAGTGTCACTGGCTGCATAAAACAATAGAAGGGCTAGAACAAATAGTCTCAGTATTAAGTTCTGTTGACTTAATTAGTTTTTTGTTTGTTTGTTTTGGGTTGGCTTGATTTAACTTAGAGAGAAAAGTGAAATTGTCTTTCACCCTTTTAAATTCTTAGTGAATTTGGGGACATTGCAATCCCAAGCAATAAACATTATCGAAAGAAATGCAAATGAAAACAATATCACATCATTAGATCTTTAGGTATTAAGTTAAAGTAATTAGTCTTCAACTCATAGTAACTATAATATTACCACGCAGCTCTGCTACAATAGTTTAATTAAACCAAATACCCACTAGATTTGAAATCTTAATAAAGATGAAAAAGATCAAGGCCACAGAGTTTGAAAACTCTAAGAAAAGCGTAGAACTCAGGTGGACAGTGGTTCACATCTAAAAAAGGTGCAGAAGAAATAAGTGACCAATTTTCCACGTCAGTAAGCTGTGAAACACATAAGAGAAGCTACATTTGAAGAGATGAACCCAATTTATGACCTTGCCTCGCTTCCAAATTCCACAGAAGAGTTTCACCAGACTTGTTACCACACAAAGAAGTTTTTAATTAAAACAAAACAAAACAAAACCAGCAACAGAAGTGAAACAACAGAATTAGAACTTTTGTTTCAGTTACTTCCTTACTCCTTGTGCTGTATTGTGTTGCTAACATTTTCCAGATTGTAAACACCACAATGCTTTCACTGGCTTTGCTGAGAAGAGATAAAAACAATCCTTAAAACAAACATTTTATCCCTAGCTAGCCAGAGCAAAAGATAACTTCAAACTTCTTAGGCTAAGACTGGAAAACAAAGGCAACTGTGGAAGTGGCACTAGTTGAACTAGGAAGCTTGCTTTAAGTAAGGACAAAGGACATATAGTTACAGGGCACAGGCTATTATCTTTTACAGTCTGTTTTGTTTGCTTCTTTTAATAGCAACTGGATAAAAATCCCACTCACAAGCTCCCGTCTGTTCAGCCAAAGCAGAGAAATATGCTGCACATAGATCTACTTCTGAAAATTAGGCTTATTCTCAAATTTTTACACCATATCCAACTGTTTTGAGCCCTAGCATATACTCCCAGTGATATTTCTGTTACAGTCATACAGCACTGTATCTATAAGCACAGAGAGTAATCACAAACGCTTAAGTGCCAAAAACTCTAAATGTGACCTAAAATTAATTCCCACACAACACACAATGAAAATTCTCTCCATATGGTCAGGTTTCTTTTTTATTACTACCATCAGGAGCTTGCAGCTTATACTGGTACAGTTTGTGGAAACCTAACATCGTCCTCTAAACTCTGAAAAACTCTACTCAAAAAAAAAATAGAAGTTCTATTCTAAAACCTCATTTCATATCAAATGATCCATTTCAGTATACTACAAATGCTAACATATATCAAAATCATAGTCATTCAACACCCTGCTTATTTTTAATGCTGTATTCTTAAATATGTGTTCTTTTATATAAATCAACAGTGCAATGCAATTTCATGCATCACCAAACTACATATGTCCATCATTCTTATTATTTTATTTCACCTTTTTAGTACGCTGTGTTTTGAATTTTAATTTTTCTTTATACACTAACATAATTTCTTTTAAAAATTTCACTACATATTAGGGTAGATTCTGTAACTTTATCTTCAAGGAATTAGGACACAGTGAGTGTCTATGCAGTTGTGAATCTCTATTCAGGTAAATTTTAGCTGTATTTATAGAAAATGTATCTCAAGCCAATTTTATGCATTGTACATTCTTGTAAGTAATGGCTAGTAAGAAAAGAAGAGTATAGAGGTGGAGATGAAAAGGTCAACTAAGTTTTGAAGGAATTGCTGTGGAGAAGGACAGAAAAAGTAAGTCACTACACAGATTCCTTAGAGTATGCATTTAATCTGTTTTACCATTTGGACTTTTTTAAACAGTATTTTTTTCTAATTTTAAAAAAGGCTACACTTCTGTACTTGCTAGCTAGACACGAATGCAGCTCAAAAGCATATCCTTGCTAAGCATCAATCTAAGGAATGGTTTTGGTTTGGAAACAGATTTTAATAACCCATACATGGGATGGTCTCAGCCACTGAGATGTTACTCTTGGGAAAAATCCCTGGATACTTTGGTTGCTCTCTGACTATGCACAATAATACATTAAGATTTCAACTAATGACATTCACAGCTACTTGCTCTGCCATAAGATGTAACCTTCGTGCAAAAAAATGAGCAGTGCAGATGTTCTGTGTCCCTCTGGTTGTTGTTGTCTGGGAAACCTTTTTTTCCAGTATGCTTTTTTCCACCCTTAGAGGTTTGTTCTTCACTTTTCTAGACCCTTTCAGTCTACCTCTCCCTAAATAGTTATTTTAGAAATGACAGTTTGAGGAAGAGCATTTATTAATACAAGTTATACAGAAAATGCATTCACCTCAGACCCTTCATAATATTCAGTAAAACAATGCTCATTACCATGTATTGTTTCCTATAGAGTAGTTCAACGAATACTCGAATAATTCTGCTCCCCCAAATCACAAAAAGTCAAAGTGTGCATGTACAGCAAAATTTCCTTCTGCTCCTCGTTTCATCAAATTTAAGCTGAAAAGAGTATTTTTCATTTCTTAACTAAAGCATGTAAATAACAGTGATAAACAGCTGTTAAAGTAGTAAGAGAAGTCAGTACTCTGTGTAGAATACCGTTCGGCATGCCGATGAGTACTTCATCAAAAGAATTATCACTTAGCAAGATGGCGAGGGCAATAAATCAATTATCAAAAATATCTGTATTCTAATCTGGTACTTTGCATTATTTAACATTTTCTGACACAAAATATATCTTAATTCTCTTTTTTATTCTGTGTCCATTAATCCCCTGATGTAGAACACAAATGCCAGTGACATAGCAAAACACTGCTGAGATTAAGATTTAAATGAAAATCAATGTTTCAGATGGCTTAAGAACTAACCTCTCTGACTTGCTGAAAGGTAAGATGGGAAAATAAAGTCCACAGTTCCATTTCATGTACAAAATTGGGTACTTTTTTTATTCTAAACTCATTTCAAAGGACACTGTGATGACTTAAAAAACAAAAGTAAAGGGAAAAAAAAAAAAAAAGTGCCTGAAGAATGATTTCAGATTTACTGAAATAGATTAGAACATCTCCAGGTCAAGCATTCACTTGCATTAGCACTACCTGACAAGCTACTCTTGCTGAAAGTAACTTTGTATGCATAATTAATTAATCAGGCCCATTTTTTCTTCTTTTCAGAATCTTATTTGGATGCTAAATTGAAGAATTTATTCGTATATCCTGGTTAATATCTGGGGAATCACTACAAAGCTTCAATTATATTAATGAACTAAAAATCTTATAAACCTCCATGACTGTCACTTACTCTGATTTTGATGTGTCTGATACGACACTTGAAAGTAGAATTATGAAAATAAATAGTCTTTTTTAGCCCATAAGAGCTTTGTGCTCTATTTCTGAAAATCCACCAATAAATCTGAGGTGCACACGACCAATCTCAAAACTCTGCAGAAGTTTCCCTGTAATATCTTTGAATATAGAAGACCTAAGCATGTACGATAGAGTCCTG